GTCCCAAAAATAGGGTCGGTTTTCGTTAAGACATGCACGATGAGGACCGCCCAGAGTCCTTTTTAGGTACAGGCAAGCAATGCTTCTGAATCAAATGTCTACATAGAGCAATAACTGAACTACAGGTACTGCTAGAACAGCCTTCCCTGGGCACCATTGGCACGTGCCCATTGAAGCACTTCATGATGGCCGTACCTTTGCCCTGTCACAACTGTGCAATTCATGGGCAGCCATTCTCTCTGGCCCACTTCAACAACTCCAAATGGCCAGATTGAGCTGCACACACACAAGTTTTCTCATTCCAGGGCAACCATTTATCATGGCCCATTCTCGTATCTCAAAATGCACACCTTTGGCAGCCTTTTCACAAGTTTGCTCATTCCATGGGCAGCCAGTCGCTCGTGCCCAAATTAGAAGTTCCGAATGCCCGCCTTTGGCAGCATTTGCACAAATTCTTTCATTCCATGGGCAGCCATTTCCCATGCCATTTCAGTATTTCCAAATGCCCATGCCAAGCAGCCTTTTCACAAGTCTCTTCATCCAGGGGCAGCCATTTGCACGGGCCCATTTCAACAACTTAAATGCCCACCTAGAGCACATATGCACAAGTATAGTCATCCCACGGAACATCCATATGTCTTGGCCATTTCAGATTCCAAATGCCCATTTCAGAGCTGTCTTGCACAGAGTCTTTGATTCCATGGGCAGCCATTTGCCATGCCCATTTCAGTTTTCGAAATGCCCACCTTCGGCAGCAAATGAACAAGTGTATATCATTCCAAAGGGCAGCCATGATGGTGCATCCTCTCATGTCTAGAAGCTGCTCAACTTAATTTGACGATCTATTTAGCATGTTACCTCGTCCGTGGTCAACCACCTCGTAAACGTCGCACGACAAGAGACCTCTGAAACATCGTTATGATTAGATTTAACAGACGCGAGAAAGGGAAACAAAACACGTTACACTCCCTGCTGCTGGATACCAGGAGCATCCGGACCTTGATTGCTTACCTCATGCTAAGAAATCTACGCATGAAGGATCTTGGTGGCGTATCAAACGATGTTGACTACCCATGCAGGAGATATTAAACAAAGCACGAAGTAAAAGGTGCGTTCAATGATTCCTGAATTCACAGCCAAGATAGAATTATCGAGTGGACTTACACGTCACCAAGAATCTTGGGGGACGTAGACATGACATAGGTCGAGATTTTCTCTCTGACTTAGGTTTCAAGTTCGATTTCACTACCAGTCGTGAATGGGGCACCGGCCATATCTATTTCCTATGAAAGACTAGCGAGCACCAATGAAGAAGAAAACTTTTTCATTCCTGATCCTACGCTGTAATGCACAGGAAGATCGTACAAGAAGAATCCTTGATGGAAATAAGAACAAGCTGACTTTAAGGCAGGTTTGCCAAAGCAAGATCAGTTAAACACGGAAGAGAAGGACCAGCTTCACTCCTTACTGACAATTACTCTGACCTATTCGATGTGTACTTTGGGAAGTTGGCTGATGGACTGACTTCAAGTATAACTTCTCCCTGATGCTAAACCCTATCATGTCCAAGAGCCTTATCCTATTCCACGGGTTCCATACCAACAACTCTTAAGATGGAGTTAACGTCTCTGCAAGACAGGAGCTACTCAAGAAGGTAAACCCCGTCCGAGTGGGGGCATCACTTTTCATCATTCCACAAAAGATCGGATCTGTAGATTCTTTCTGATTTCCGGGAACTGAACAAAAGGATTAAGCGTGAAGCTTATCCTATCCAAAAAGACAGAACATGCTTTTGAATCTAGACGGATTCAAATACGCTACTAGTTAGACTGAACAGGATACTACTACACACGAGCTGTCAGCTCACTCGAAACAACTCTATACCATCGTTACTCCCTGGGAAAGTAGAGTACCAGAGGATTGGCCAATGGACCTATGTAATAGTATCGACATTTCCAGGAGAAGATGAGGAACAATAATGCACGAACAGATACGTCCGTGCATACATTATGATCAATCATCCTAAACGGGTCTATGCAGATCACGTTGAAAGTTGATGAAGTTCCGAAGGCTGCGAGAAGCCGGACTCAAGATCATTGCTACCAAGTCCTTCTTCGCAAGGAGAACTTTAATACTAGGTTACTGGATTACTCGAGAAGGAATCCAACCTTACATAACAAGCAAATAGAGCGATCAAGATATCGCTCCTTCTACCAACAGGAAGGAACTCCGTAGATGCAATTGGACTAGTGGAACTACTATCGAGACATGTGATTAGCGATCACTGTATCTGGCCCCACTCGCTTCGTTGACTTCCAAAAAACAATCGAAGTGGAATGGGAAGACGAACACGACAAGGCATTTAGCCAGATGAAGAAGATCTATCAGCAAAAAACCTTGCTCGCCTACCCTGATTTCAACGATACATTCGTTATCACACGGATCGAGTGATACTATACTAGGTGCGGTAATTTCCAGAAGGGAAAACCTATCGGATTCTACAGCAGGAAGCGTCAACCCTGCTCAGACAGCGTTACACAGTTACCGAGAAGTAACTTCTCAGTATCGTAGAACTCTGAAAGAATTCCGAAACATTCTTCTAGAACAGAAATCGTACAAGGACCACAAAATCTTACATTAAGAAACTTCAATACCGATCGCGTAAGAGATGGCGCATTATTCTGGAAGAATAGCGCTCTGAACTACGGTACACAGGGCGAACAGAACATACTCGCCGATGCGTTGTCGAGACTAACATCTTAACAACGACGGTTTCTTCGAACGATGGACGCCGCGTGATTGCTGAGTCATGGCGCAGAAAGAGGACTTCGCACTAGTGAGTTCCCCTCTCTCTTCCCCGAGAGAAATCGTCAGAAGCGACAACGATATCAAGGAAGCTCCTCAGGGACAACACAACACCTACAAGAAGCATCTTCCCTAGAGGGATAAGTCTACGAAACTTGTAGTCTAAGGACGAGAAACGTCTTCGTACTAAAACTATGCGAGAGAAGCTAGTGAATGGGTACGCATTGTGTAGATTCCGAGCCATCCTGGCGAGACTTGCACGGAACTAACCATCAGCAACACTACACCTGGAAAGGACTGCGAGACTGTGAGGCCCGTATGTCAGCGTTGCCGAAGCTGCCAATAACAAACCCAAGACGCGTAAGCTGGTATTGAATGCCTCCAAAGACTGCGAGGAGATCCTTGGAAAGACTATGTATTGACCTGAATAGGCTCCTTACAACGTCGGGATTCCCAAGAAAAAGGAATTCCTTCCACTTCATTGCGTGACAATTTATTGATACCGTAACGGATGTGTTCGAGGATTGCAAGATCTGCTCCAAGGAGCAGCAAGAAGTACGCATCGTACCTAGAACAAACGTGGCTGACTCGGTATCATGCTGCTGAGGTTATCATGGATAGAGGACGTGAGTTCCGCGCGAGGTCGAAAAGACACTCGGGATGAATATGGACTTCGTCGCAAGTTCATCACCACGCGAACCTCAAGCCAACTCTATGTCGAGCGTGCTCATCAAACCATAACTAACTTGATCGCTGTTCAAAACATCAAGTGCCAAGACGACCTCGTGAATGGATCTGGGATGGAGTCCTCACGGCGGTTCGCTTTGCAATGAATGCCACGATTCATACCACCTTGCGTGCAACGCCCGACAGCTCGTGTTCAATCGTGACGCGATTCACAACGTCCGGTTCGAAGCCAACTGGAAGTACATTAAGGAACGTCGCCAACGACTAACCACAAAACAACGATAGGAAAACGCAACGCGTGTCCCATCAATACAATGTCAACGAACTGTGATGATTCAACAGTATCACACCGCAAGTACGGTCATCCAAAGTACAAGGTCCTAACTATAGACCGAGTCAAGACAATGGCACTGTACGGCTCCAACATGCTACCGCAACGGCGAGCACGTCTACCAGACTTGGAACATAAGGTATACAACCATACAGGCCTGATCCCTCTTGTAGGTTGCCATCGTGCGACGCACATGTCTACATCCAAATCTCATGAGAGTGCCCCGCACTTTAAATCATATGTTCTCCTTGTCCACTGCTGTCGCGCCTTCTGTGGCCCTTGTCAGGGGCGAATGCAATACACGGCTCTTAGCCTTATTCGCGACCTCGATCCTAGATAGGGTTTGAGTTGACTCATGACTGAGTCTCTCGTGAATAGTCATTTGAGACAGTTCTCAATGACCGCGCTAGTCATACAGGTTGATGATGAAACATCGCTTGTAGATATTTAGCCAGCGTGGAGTACTTCCAGCTACTAGACCCAGGCTAGACAAACCTTCCACGTTCGTTTTGATCGTGGAGAGACGTAGGATCTACCACAACCTACTCTATCACACTTTATAGTCTCCGCGGGAAGCCAGATCTACGATCCGTTGATGATGATCTCTCTCGTTGATTAGTTTTCATAGCTTTCTAATCTCTCTCATAACTTTCATTCTCTCAAACTCAAAACACTCGAAAGATCTTTACACTAGCTTTTAGCGTAGTGCAATTGAATGCGCCACATAGTCTAGCTAGTCTAACTGGCGAAATGTTTTCATAAAAATCGTGGAGTTCATACGGTAGATCCAATGCTGTCTCGCATGATGTATAAACAGCCCTGCAGACTCATGGGAAAACTTGAAAGTGCAATATTATTGTTATTCCTGGCATGTTCCAATCGACTGTTGTGGGCGGAGAAGAGAAAGTCGAGGCAGCATCAGCACCCTTGAGCGTGAACTAGCCGAGTACGATGTAGCTCCAGCAAGCGTCCATCCCTGGCAATACCGGTATCGGGGTCCATATTGATCCTTTTGTTTCGCTTGCCTTTCATCTAGCTTGCTGCTAGCTAGTACGCTGTATTCCCATCATTATCATGGCTTCCAAGCCAAAAACCAAAAATCGGACTCTGATGCGCCAGTGTTACCGTTACTCACTCAAAAGGATGTGTGGATAAATGGTATCCTTCCTTTGTTGGAATGGGCCACTATGCCATTGTAGGATCTGTCAACAACAAGATGAATCACCTCTACAAGGACTATTGTGATTCCGTGTAGGATCCTCCAAGAGTACGGCTTCGGGCAGAGAATAATTTTGGAGAATCAACAATATCAGCAACTAGCACGGTCACAACCTCTGGTGCTGCTTTCCAAAATGAGTCCACTGCAGAATTTTGGCTCAGTGACAATTCCAACACAAAATTTCCTTGGCATGACATAGTGTGCACAACCATTGCCAAGCTTGGAAATCTGCATGTTCTCAAATGGGCCCGTGGCAAAGGCTTTCCATGGGATTATTGGACATGTGCTCGTGCTGCTGAAAATGGGCATCTGGAAGTCTTGAAATGGGCCCACGGAAATGGTTGCCCTTGGGATGAATTCACTTGTGAAAAGGCTGCCAAAGGTGGGCATTTTGAGATACTGAAATGGGCCCATGCAAATGGTTGCCCTTGGGATGGACTCACTTGTGCATATGCTGCAGGAAGTGGACATTTGGGGTTGCTGAAGTGGGCGCGTGCAAACGGCTGCCCTTGGTCTTCATACACTTGTGCATTAGCTGCTGAACATGGCCATTTGGAAATTCTGAAATGGGTACGTCAAAATGGCTGCCCATGGGACATTGATAGTACTTGTGCTGGTGCAGCCAGGGTTGGGCATCTTAATGTATTGAAGTGGTTGCGTGAAAATGGCTGCCCATGGAACGCCAACACTTGTACAAATGCTGCTTGGGGTGGACATTTGGAAATACTGAAATGGGCCTGTCCATGGAATCAACAAACTTGTACAACTGCGGCTTGGAGTGGACATTTGGAAATACTGAAATGGGCCAGAGACAATGGTTGTCCATGGGATGCCGATACTTGTAGATATGCTGCTCTTGGCGGACATTTGAAATACTGAAATGGGCCCGTGAAAATGGCTGCCCCTGGAATGAATATACTTGTGTATATGCTGCTGGAGGCGGCCATTTGGAAATACTGAAATGGGCCCGTGAACAGGGCTGTCCATGGAATGCAGTGACGATCAATCTAGCTAGAGATTGTGGTCAGTGCCATGTTTTGGATTGGGCCCTTGCAAATGGATGTCCTGAATAAAAAGGTGGTAGACCAAGTTGGATTTCTTTGTGAGCTGAAGATGCGTTGATGGGCAAATCAGACTGCTGTATGGCTCTCCCATCGCTGATGCATACATGTAGCTGCTAGCTAGCTAGGACGGTACATCTGATTCGAACTATTTATTGTTAATATCATTATGGGCTACGCTAGTGCCATGATACCACTATGGCCTACCGGTAGTGCTACTGGTACGTATGGAAGACTGTTGGGTTGTTCCCAGCTCTCGTTTTTTGGGTCCTTTTGTCGCCGCACAGTATTGCCCCCGATGCCTCGTGTACCGTACCTATGGTTAAGTAGTGTCATCCAAAAAAAAATGTTGCTCTTTCTTTGCGGCAATGGCTTCCTTTGACTGTCAGGACCACACTACAGTAGGTGGATTAGATGGTTCACCAACTACAAATACCCATTCCAGCATCGCCAAGTGGTCACTTTGAGTTGAGTTGGCTATCATGTTAATGTAAATTTTTGGTAAAAAGTGAGGCTCACCCGGCGATTTCTTTCCGAATTGGGATTGAAAGTCAAACCGTTTCTCTAAGTCACACATTCTAATCACACTTTTCGCGAAACAAGCCTGTCAATCTGCGAAACATTATTGATCTAAAGTAAATAACACAATAAATCCCCGTCAATCGACCAAGCACCATTTGACCACTGAAACATCTGTAAAGAGATGCTTTCTCTCACAAGCAATCCACCATCGACCCAGTAAGATGCCCTGAAAGATCCCATCCGATCCCCAACAGCCAGCGACATGTCGCGAAACAGCGAAGATCTCACAAATTCCACCAAGATCGCGAGGAAAGATCGCGACGAAAGATCGGGACGGAAGATCGCCACAACATCATCCTGTGGCCACAGCCTTAATATAAAGACAAGCAACCACACCCCACAAACACACAGCCACAATCCCTTTGTTGCATGCACTGCAACACTCACTCTTACACCTCATCAGCAAGCTAGGCATCCAAAGATGGCAACAGTTCAAAGGGAGTTAGAAATAAGAGCATATAAAAGCAGTGCAAACAGCAACACAAAAGCTCACCTTTCCATCCTCTTCCTCTGGAATGAAATTCGCATCATCAATCTCATCCCCATTGTCGTCAAACTGAACCTCGTCTTGATCAACCAACAAGTCAATAACGTTGCCGTCCCTGTCAAGCTCAAAGCCAAAGAGATTGCCCGTCTCCAGTCGAGCCGCCACATCCTCCGCACTCTCCTCTTGGAGAACCGCATAACCACCACCAAGATGCGGAATTGCATCGGCGTGCCACCACTGGTACTTCATCGTCAGAATATCATCCACAATATTGCGGTAGCGAGCACCACCGCGACGTTCAACGAATGTACCGTCCTTCACCATTGCCGCTTTATTCTCTTGCGCTCGAATACCCTTCTGGTCGCCAAGGCCTTGGACGACAGCGCCTCTAGCCAGGTGAATCGCCATCATCGAGTCTTCGAATCGATCCATATCCTGGACGATGCGTTCGCTGGGCGGTGCGCCTTGGAGAATACGATGGTACGCTTCCTGCCCACGCTTTGGTGTCGAGATGGTGAACTTGGTTGGGTCGTCATCATCCAAATGGCTCGTAATGATGATATGACGATTCACTGTGCAAGCGGAAACATTTGAGCTGTGGGACATGACGGAAGATACTGCTATGGTGGACGAAGGTGGTGGTACTTTATGATCCCGTTTGTTCGTGAGAAATCTCAAGACTCTCAAAGGTTGCCGTGCCGCATGTCGGAAGTCTTCGAATGTGGTCCCACACACAACTACTACGCAAGCGTGCAAATCCCTACAAGTCCGCTATGGTGAGATTGGCGAGACTTCATTCAACTATCCACTACTCTGAATTCGACGAGGATGTGTCACAGAGGTGTCAAGCACATGTACAAGGAATCCAAGCTCTTCTTTCGCAAGCACCGACTAACTTTCACGGCTGGTATTCTATCACGATGCGCTTTCCCAGATGACGTCCAAAGAATGCTACGAGTGGATGGAGGAACACGGCTACCTTGCGCACTGGCTTCTTCCTGTTGGATTGAACCTCACCAGCAATCGTCTCGACAATTCCCGTCAGGCAACAGTCCAGAGGCCAACGCTTGGGATACGTCTCTCAACAAGGACGTGAATGATT